GGGGTTTCTCTATGTTGATCAGGCTGGTCTCAAACTCCCGACCTCAGGTGATCCGCTCACCTCAGCCTCCCAAAGTGCTGGGATTACAGGCGTGAGCCACCGCGCCCAGCCTATTCTGCTTTTGTGTGTGTGTGTGTATGTATATGTCAGTGCTTTTCAGCAAACCTTCGGAGGGCAAAGGGGAAGTTATAAAACTATTATCAAATAAACTTATTATGCTTTTCTCTTGTTAACCTGTGTTTTGTTATAGGGTTTTCTGTCATGACCCTTATGATAGGGAGAAAAGGGATCACCCCTACACCAGCCCCCAATTAAAACCCTGAACACCAAGCTAGAGTGAGCTTCCCTGGTTCTGTATGGCATGAACACAAATCTCTCACACATCGTTCCTGGGAGATTTTTTCTTTTTTTTCCTTTTTTTTTTTTTTTTGAGACACAGTTTTGCTCTCGTTGCCCAGGCTGGAGTGCAATGGTGTGAACTCAGCTCACCGCAACCCATGCCTCCTGGGTTCAAGTGATTCTCCTGCCTCGGCCTCCTGAGTAGCTGGGATTACAGGCATGCACCACCACGCTCGGCTAATTTTGTATTTTCAGTAGAGAAAGGGTTTCTCCATGTTGGTCAGGCTGGTCTCGAACTCCCAACCACAGGCGATCCACCTGCCTCGGCTTCCCAAAGTGCCAGGATTACAGGCATGAGTCACTGCGCCCGGCCTGTTCCTGGGAGATTTAAAGGTTATCAGTTAAATTCCAGAGAGAGACAGGACAATGGGAAGCCTGCACTTGGTCTCTCCTGGACCTTGGAGCTTGCTCTATGTGCTTTTTTCTGTTGCAGTTTTCTTTTTTCAGATGGAGTCTCACTCTGTTGCCCAGGCTGGAGTGCAGTAGCAGAATCTCAGCTCACTGCAAGCTCCACTTCCCAGGTTCAAGCGATTCTCGTGCCTCAGCCTCCCAAGTAGCTGGGATTACAGGCACTTGCCACCACGGCCAGCTAATTTTTGTATTTTTAGTAGAGATGGGGTTTCACAATGTTGACCACGCTAGTCTTGATCTCCTGACCTCAGCTGATCCACCCACTTCGGCCTCCCAAAGTGCTGGGATGATAGGTGTAAGCCACCATGCTCAGCATGTTGCTGACTTTTAATCTGCATCCTTTCACTCTAACACTCTACCATAAATGCAACACAGTATTTGCTGAATTCTAGGAGTTCTAGCAAATCACTGAACCAGAGGGTGGTACTGGGGACCCAAGAACACAGACACTAACCAACGACTCCCTTGTCAAACACACATACACATATAGTCTCCATTCCACCATTTGTCTTTTATTTTTGCTGCTTTCTAAAAGGAGTTACTCTGTAAAAGGTCTGCATTGTAAAATTTGTTTTTCCTCTCTGTAGAGGTTCTAAGTGTGCGTGAGGGTTTTCTTCTTTTATTCCTTATATAAGTTAAACACATTATTTTTTAAACTCAAGTTCCACACATTTTTTATATAAACTCACAAGGGAAAAAATTTGGGAATATATGGAGTAAAATGTGAGGGCCTTTCAACACCTCTTTTTGTTTTGTTTTGTTTTTGAGACAGAGTATCGCTCTTGCTGCCCAGGCTGGAGTGCAACGGCGCGATCTCTGCTCACTGCAACCTCCACCTCCCAGGTTCAAGCGATTCTCCTGCCTCAGCCTCCCAAGTAGCTGGGATTACAGGCATAAGCCACCACATCCAGCCTCTCCTTAATATTTGATTCTCCTGTGTCTCTGTGATACCAGGACAATTCTTCTTAGATCTTTATACAGAATTCCCTTAAGGGATACTTTTGTTTCTTATAATAATGATTTGAGGCAGTTTTAATCTTACAGAAGATTAGAATTTTCAACTCATTTTGATATTGTAACTGTTATGGACTAAATTATATTCCATATAATTAATTCCATATAACATATTCCCCCAAATTAATATGTTGAAGTCCTAACCCCCAATGTGACTTTATTTGGAAATAGGGCCTTAAAGGTTGTATTTTTTTTTTGGAGACAGAGTCTCGCTCTCTTGCCCAGACTGGAGTGCAATGGCGTGATCTCAGCTAACTGCAACTCCACCCTCGCGAGTTCAAGCCAATTCTCCTGCACTCAGCTTCCCAAGTTTGCTGGGATTACAGGCCACCCACCACCACACCCGGCTAATTTTTTTTTTTTTTTTTTTTTTTGAGACGGGAGTCTCGCTCTGTCGCCCAGGCTGGGGAGTGCAGTGGCGCGACCTTGGCTCACTGCAAGCTCCGCTTCCTGGGTTCACGCCAATTCTCCTGCCTCAGCCTCCCGAGTGTGGGACTACAGGCACCCACCACCATGCCCGGCTTGACTATTTTTTTTTTTT